GCTCCTACAGGTTAGTCACACATGTTCTTTTTAAAAAGGTGTTTTGTTTTTTTTTTGCCCAGCGGTGGTCATGCATGCTTTTAATCCCAGCACTCGGGAGGCAGAGCCAAGCCAATCTCGTTGAGTTTGAGGCCAGCCTGGTCTACAGAGTGAGTTCCAGGACAGGCTCCAAAGCTACACAGAGAAACCCTGTCTTGGAAAAAAAAATATATATATATATATATATATATATATATATATATTATTTTTAACTATGTGTATATGTATGTGTCTGAGTGCCGATTTTGTGTACATGAGGGCAATGCCCTTGGAGGCCAGAAAAGGATGTCGAATCCACTAGAAGTGGAGTTACAAGTGGACTGAATTCTGGTCCTCTGCAAGAGCAGCGAGTGTGAGCTCTTAACCAGTGAGCCGTCTCTCCAGCTCCACCAAAGACACGATTTTGGTGCCTCTGCCTCAGCTCTTCCTCTGTATCCAGTTTGTCCCTGATCCTGGCCAGGTGGCTGTATTACCATTTCTACCCTCTCTGGAGCTTGCTGGGTCATTCATCGCTCTGCCATGATCGTATTTACCTACCATGATTACACCCTCTCTCACCGGGGGCATCCTTCACCAAGCTCACCTGAACTCTTCTGGGTGGGTCCAATTTTCCTCCTTTAAACCACATGGACAAAATAACAGCTTCCTAGAGAGCCACTGAGTTCTGAGGGTCACATCTTAAACTATTTAAGATCTTCCTGCCTTAGCGTCTTAATTGCTGGGATTAATAGATTTGTGTCGCCACATGTTAAATAGCCTCTTTGATGACAGCCTAGAAAACATATTTTCAACATGATAGCAACCATCATAGCTGCGGGAAGAATGGCCAGTGGGAACATCTATGGAGGATGGTCTAGAATGCTCATTGATGAAGAAAGACCCAGCCCACTGTGAACAGGTCTTTTAGGTCTCAGGCAGTCCATATATCCAGTTTGAGCTCATTTCTGAATATCGGGACAGCCGGAGACCTAACATTCCAGCCTTTTGTTGATGATAAGGGATAACGTAGTCTCTTCTAAGCTGCTTCTTAGCTGGGGAGAGCCATCACGGCAGTCCAGGAAGGCTGGAAAGCAAGTCAAAGGTGGGGAGGGGTAGGAGCTAGGGGCCTAAACGTGCAATCAGTTCTCTTTTACTTGGATGTGTGGACTGTCTGAGATCTAACAAGCACCATTTCCCAGGCTGGGCCTCCCAGACTGGTTAAGAGTAGAGCCGGCTAGCTGAACAGCACAAATGAGCAAGCAAAGTCCCACTCGCTTCTCTCTGTTCTATACAGGAGATGTGATGTGACTAGCTGCCCGAGTTCCTGTCGTAACTTCTCTCAGTGATAGCCTGTAACCTGTGACCGAAAGCCAAATAAACCCCCTTCCTCGACCACACTGCTTTGGGTTGTGATAGTTTATCACAGCAGCAGAAATGAAACCAGAGAGCTAGAAAAGGTGGCAGTCTCGTATTCATTTTGTGAATTAGAAAAAAAAATCGTTGCCTACAGTTGATCCATAGGCACCCCTGAAGCAGTCCATGTTCCAATCCCTCCGGTAAGGGAAGTAGAAATGCTTGTGTTCTCCTTACTGAGCCCCACCTCAAGTATTACCTGCCCACGGGCCACTCAGATCCCCCGGTCACTCTGTCTTTGAGCAGACCAGCCCACAGTCCCCTCAGTACCTTCCATGTCCATGCTGGGCATACCTGCCATGTTTGAGGTGAGTCTTTGAAAGTCATTGTATAGTCTCGCCCCTCCTTCTTGTAACCTATTTTAGAAACGGGCATTTTAGATATAATCAAATTCAGATGAAGTTATATTTGATTATTGCCACAACTACTGTCCTAACAAACAGAGAAGACGCACGAGGTGGTCCCAGGGATAACGCCACGTGGGACGAAGTGTCTGCCAGTGATCCACCCCGGAGCCTTCAGAGAGCGATATTAGGAAATAATTCATTTCTGAAAATAATATGATATTTAAGCCTCTCGGTTTGTAGCACTTTATCGAAACCAGCCCAGAAAAGGCGCATCGATCGCACCCCTGCTCTCCCACACCACTGCAGGGAGCTTGGCAGGGCCTTGTTCAGCAGGCCACTCACAGACCTCGTGGGACCCTGGGACAGGCAGTCAGCCTGTCGTGCTCCTCGAAGGCCCCCTGAGAACATTTAGAGTAAACAAGGTCCTCCCTCTCAGGCGTCTGCTTTTATGCTGTGCCCGGGTTTCTCCCTGTGTTTTCAAGGGCACAGCGTGGACTTCCTGCTAGGGCGGCAAGCGCCAAGTGTCGTTCAGGCGTTCTGCCAGCAGAGGGCGGTCGCGCAGTACGTGGGGCTTCCGGGCCTGACAACAACGGTGAAGACCGACAGGGGGCGCTAGCCGAGCCCAGAGGCCATGGCTCAGGCTGGGCTCTGCTCTTTCCTTGAACCCGGAAAACTGAGACCCGTAAAGCGCGCTCTAGAGACGCCCAAGACACTTTCAACTCTGATCTGCCTCTGGGCCCCGGGTCACACTGCTGAGCAGTCCTTGGCCACACCCCAGATCCCCCGCACAGGTCGCTGCGGGGAGAGCGGGCCGTGCTTGCACCATGGCACTCCAGGCACAGTCACCCTGCTGGGGTCGCGTCTGGGTTCCCCCTCTTCTCAAGCTCCTGGAGGACCCTGTCCTCCTCTGGCTGCAGCGAGCATACTCTCCCAAAGCCCAAACTCTGAGCCTCATTATAGTCACTAACACATCTGAAGGGAGAGGCCTGCGCCAGCAGAGTGGCGCTTTCTCCTAGTACCTCTGTGAATGGCTCTCCTACCTTGCTACAAGCGACTTCACGTTCAACCCAGAAAAATGGAGGGAGGGGTGTCAAGACAAGCAAACAAACGAAGCGTCGCCTGAAACCCCATCTTGACTCCACTGGTAACATATACTAGCATTTTTCTATGTCCTGCCACCACATTTTCCTTGTCACATCCGTGTGTGCAGGGCGATGTATATGCTCTTTCCATATTAGGGGTCTTCCCCATCCCTGGCCACTGAAATTTGCTTTCCCATCAAAGGGCACCAAAGGCACCTTTGGGAGTCCTACAGTGGACTTTTGTGGCGTGGCTTAGACGGTAAGGGTGCTTGCCGGTCAAGCCTTACCCTCGGTTAGGTCCCTGGAAACCTAGATGGTGGAAGGAGAGAGAGAGAACAGGCGCCTGCAAGCTGTCCTCTGACCTCCACACTTGAGACATGGCATGAGGGTGCAAATGCACAAATGTATGAATGTGCGTGTGCGCGCGCGCACACACACACACACACACACACACACACACACACACACACACACACACAAAATGTAATACTTTTTTTTTTTTTTTTTAAAGAGCTGTCCACCCTGGAAGGAAGGGTGGCAGAAAGCAGGCCCACTGGCCAGGGACTGTCCCTGTGCATGTCTGGGAACTTCTTGGGCACCTGGCACCTGGGTCATCTGAGTTGAGGGCTCGTCCCTGGCTGAAATCCCCAGTGCTTTTTCTGTGGCCTTTTTTGAAGAAGAAAATCCCATTCCTATCCCTGCCGGGTCTATCTGCAGCTGAAATACTCCAGGGTGGTGCTTTCTGGTGTTAACTTAAATCGGAAAAGATGTAAAATAAATCTGTATTGACACACAGAGGAATGTCACACCTCCTTTCCACATGCTGGCAGGAAAAGTGAGCTTTGCTTTCAGTGATTCTCAGTGAGGGGTGGAGGGGTAGGAGGACGACTGCCTCCCCCAGATAACATTTGGCGATGCCTGGTTGGAGACATTTTAGTTGTCACGACTGGAAAATGCTGCTGGTGGGTAGAACAGAACCCACCTCCCAGGCCCCCCAAGAGAGAAGTAGCCAATTCCAAATATTGGCAGACTCAGATTGTGAAATATTATTCCAGGTGTCCTGGACACTCCTTTGGGCCCAAAAGACCCTAAGCCTTGATCTAATACAGTACTGCCAAGTGGCAATGGCCTTGACCGAGAACCCCTAGGCCTTGTCCCTTGATGTAGGACATACAGAGCTGGTGGTGAAATCAGGCAAAAGGTTGCAGGACAGGTCTGCCAGGCAGTGTGTGGGTGTATGGGGGACAGTCATTGTCACTGGGGTTCCCTGTTTCATTCTGTTTATTGCACATGGATTGAGGCCAGTTCCTAAGGGTGTGTGTGTGTGTGTGTGTGTGTGTGTGTGTGTGTGTGTGCCTCACCTCATGAATCTTATTTTTCCAGGTAACCTATGAAGCAGTAGCACCACCAAACCTTACCTTTGAAGGCACTTCCAGAGCTCAAACCATCTTCTTTCCCAGGAGTCTAGATTGGAGTTCATGGTTGGCCTCAAAGCCTTGGTTTCTTCATCAGTAAATTACAAATAATAACACCTGCGTTCCGCCCGGGGCACTTTCACACTCGTTATCTTTAACTCTTAACAGCCTGGGAAGAGAGTGGTTCCCTTTAAGGCACCTGAGCTCTGACTCCAGGTCCCCTTCCTGAAGCCACGGACCGGCAGAGCAGGTTCTAAAGGAAGGCAGCCCAACTACGATGCTCTCACTCTGTGACCAGGCTGAACCACTTGGTCTTAGATCTGCTGCCAGTGTGAATCATTCGTACCCTCCTGTAAAGTCAAGATGTCTTCAAACTATAATGTTGCTGGGCGATGGTGGCGCACACCTTTAATCCCAGCACTGGGGAGGCAGAGGCAAGAGAATCTCTGAGTTCGAGGTCAGTCTGGTCTACAGAGTGAGTTCCAGGACAGCTAGGGCTACACAGAGAAACCCTATCTTGAAAAGCCAGCACAACACAACAAAAAACCCAAAAACAAAAGCAAAAAAAAAAAAAAAGCATTATAGCAAACAAGCTATAATGCTTCTTGCATATGACATGTGCAAATGCTACCCTAGAGGGTCTTTCTGCAGAATCTGAGAACCCTGGTCCTGAGTGCACTGCTCTCAACGATTCACACATATGTGTGAGGCTCAGGACAAGTCTGCTTCAAGGAATGGCCATAGGGCTGCAGTAGCTTAGCTTGGCAATCACACACAAGGTCCTGCGTTCAGTCTCTAGTCACACCACATACCTGGGCACGGTGGCACAAGCCTGTGATGGCGATACTCAGGAGGTAGAGACAGGGGAGGCAGGAGTTCAAGGTCATCCTCGGCTTTATCTTCATGAGGTTTGGGGTCAGGGGCTGGGGAAGGTGGGTAGTCCAAAAGGTTGACAGATGTGATGCATGCCTATAATCCCACCGCTCCTCAATCTGGAGTTTGGAGCCAGCCCGGACTAGCGAGACCCCATTACATTGCTGTTGCTGGGATAAAATACCATGACCCAAAGCAACTTATAGAAAAGGAGTTTATTCTGGGCTCGTGATTCCAGAGGGATAAGAGCCCATCGTGGTGGGAAGGGGGCATGGCACCAAATGGGGCATGGCAGTGGGGACGGGAAGCTGAGAAAGCATGTCTACCGACACAAACACAAAGCCGAGAGAGAACTGGAAAGGGGCGAGGCTATGGACTCTCAAAGCCCCGCCTCCAGTGACGTAACTTCCTCCAGGAAGGCTGCACCACCTCCCAAACAGCGCCACCAACTGGGGACATGTGTTCCAACACTTGAACCTGTGGGGGACGTTTCTCACAGAAGCCGCCACTCTCTGTTCCTTGACCCCCACAGTCGTGTGGCTATGCCATTAACATGAAGTGTTTTAGTGTGACTCCAGAAGTCTTCACAATCTTTCACAGTTTCAACACTGTTTTAAAACCCAAGTCCACAGTCTCTTCTGAGATTCAAGACAGTCTATTAATTACAACACCCTGTAATGCCAAAAAAGCAAACTACGTCATCCTGATATAGCATAGCGTAGACGATGTATTCTCATTCTAAAAGTGAAGAATAGAAGAATAGTGAGGAAACACTGGACCAACGCAAGACCGAAACCCAGAAGGATAAAAACCAAATCCTGTAGCTCTATATCCAGTGTCTGGAGCTTGAACTTAAAGGGCTTTAGCAGTTCCATCCCCTACAGTTTTGCAAGATGCAACATACCTCTGTTGGCCTGATTCCATGCCATGCATGCAGCTCTCCTTGGCAGATGTCTCGCAGCTCTGGCATCTCCAACATCTTGGGTGGCTCCACTAGAACCTACACTAGACTCTCAGCTTCATTCAATGGTCCCTCAGAGCCTGCTGCTCTCTCAAGGGGCCTCCACATCGTACACTGGTTGGCCTCAGCAGCTCTCTGAAACTTCAGAGGTGGAATCCATGTTCCTTTTACTCCTGTATCCTCTGTGCCTTTGACTATATGGTCAACACTGTCAAGTTTGGCTGCCAACTTAAGATGGCCCTGGGCCCATCTTGAATCACATTAGAAGCAGCTTTTTTTCTTCACTTGTTTTCTAGGAGCAGAAAACCCCGTAAGCTCTATTTCATAAGTTGGAGGCTTAGAGGGGAGTGGGGGATCTTGCTCTCTGGGCACCTGTGGTGGATTGAAAGAAAATGGCCCTCCCAAGGGAGTGGCACTACTAGGAGGTGTGGCCTTGTTGGAGTAGGTGTGGTCTTGTTAGAGGAAGTGTGTCACTGTGGAGGTGGGCTTTGAGGTCTCCTATGCTCAAGCTATGCCCAGTGTCACAGTTCACTTCCTGTTGCCTGTGGATCAAGATGTAGAACTCCCAGCTCCTTCTCCAGCACCATGTCTGCCTGCACAGTTCCATGTCCTATCATGATGATAATAGACTGAACCTCTGAACTGTAGGAAGCCACCCCAATTAAACGTTTTCCTGTATAAGAGTTGCTGTGGTCATGGTGTCTCTTCATAGCAATAGAAACCTAAAGAGAGCACCTCTCCGATTGTTCTGGTGTAAGCAGGTCTTTCCTTAGTGGTGCTAATCCCCTTCACAATTACAGTCCCCTTCCCTCTCTGCACACTCCTTGGCTGCAGAGTAAAGCTTTCTTCCCGGTGTTCTTCTCTCCAAACTGTACATTTTTTAAATTTCTCTCTGTCCCATTGCTCTTTTTCATTATAGACCTCCATCTGCTTTATCAGCAGCGACCATGTCCCAGATTCAACACTATGCTCTCCTGAGGTTCCCTCTGGGAAACAAACTTAGTCCATTACTCAGGCTTTGGACAAGGGTAGAAGGCAGCCAGTTTTTTTAATTCCCTCCCACATAGCACAAGAATGGTCCCTAGCCTAGCTAATATTGTTCTCCTCTGAAACCTCTTGAGCCTCTACAATTCCTTCTGTCTTCCAGGCTCCTACTAGAACATCTCATCAAGCTCAGCCTATAGTGTGTAACTACTTTTCTAGCCCCAATATCCAAAAATCCCCCACATTTCTCCTTTGAACACATGGCCAAGTTCTTTACAACAATTCACTGTCTGGGACAAATTTCTGTATGGGTGACTTTTCTATTGCTGTAATAGAACACCATGACCAAAAGCAACTTATGGGAAGAAAAAAAAAAAGAGTTTATTTTGGATGTATGGGTCCAGAGGAATGAGAGTCCTTCACGGAAGGAGGGAAGCATGGCAGCATGAGACAAGCTTGACAAGAGGATTAGGAAGCTGAGAGATCACATCTTCAATCTCTACCATGACACAGAGATACAGAGAAACGGATGTGGGGTGAGGCCATCAACTCTGAGAGCCCACCCCCAGAGATATAACTTCCTCCAGCAAGGCTGCACTGCCTTCCCAAACAGCGCCATCTACTGGGGACCAAATTTTTAATACTTGAGTCTACAGAGGACATTTCTCATTGAGAGCACCACAGCATCTCAAAAAAGAAAAGGAAAGAGAGGGGGTGGGGGCAATATCTTGGATGACTTCCTGATAAACAACCCTTATTTTTGTGTTTAAAACCATAAAGATCAGCTTCACACCACGTCTTCCCTTTGACTTTGGAGATCCCCTAACTTGGTCTATCTAATGCCTATATTTTCCGCTACTCTTTTCCTCCCTAGGTATTTAGAGTTAAAATACCAGCTGAAATGTGCTCAGGAGCTAAAAGGCAAACACCAGCAAAGACACCCTGTGGTGGTTTGAATGTAATTGGCCTCGATAAGCTCTTGGGGGGTGCCATTATTAGGAGGTGTGGCTTTCGTTGGAATGGGTATAGCCTTGTTGGAGGAAATGTGCCACTGTGGGCTTTGAGGTTTCCTATGCTCAGGATACTGCCACGTGTCTCATTCAACTTCCTGTTCCCTGAAAGATAGAGCCAGCACCATGTCTGCCTGTATGCCACCATACTCCCTGCCGTGATGATGATGGACTGAACTTCTGAAACTGTAAGCGAGCCTCCCCAATTAAATGTTTTACTTTATAAGAGTTGCTGTGGTCATGGTGTCCCTTCAAGCAATAAAAACCCTAACTAAGGCACATCCCAATTTGCAGAGGCAGCAAGGGTGAATCCGGCCCTCGTGTTTAAGACTCCACTGCTCCTCGAGATATATACTTTAAGTAGAAACTATGGAAAATAGAAGGTCCTTCAAATCCATGTCACAGTCGGGGGTGACATTTCAGGCTCCAGAGCAGGAGAGACAGTTGATTAGACTGGAAGTTTAAGCTGGCACTTCCTCCCACCAAGTATCAAGGGCTCAGGCCTCCCCATATGGGCTCTCTTCCAGTCTGCCCAGACATTGCTTTTCAAATCGAGTCACAAGTCTCAGACAAGGGACAACCATACTCCAAACTTCAGGCAGATGCCTCTTCTGGCTGGACATGCCATCTGCCTCCTTCTCTGGATCTGAGTAATGAAAACATATTGACCCTTGGGGGTAACCGCAGGTTCAGCACTCAGGATAGCCTGCCACACATGCTAAACCAATGGCCTTTTGCAGATGAGGTTGTTAGAGTCTGAATGGCTTGGTGAGCACTTGGGCTCAGCAGGTCCCACCACCCGTAGCCCTGGCTGCCTCTTCCTTTGGGCTTCTGGGCCACTGTCCTGGCTCAGTCGGCTTGTGTGAGGTCTTGTCTCCAAAGTCCAACTGTTGTAGAATTGCTTCAGCTCTGGCCTATGGTCATGAGTGATGTTTCTTTTACCTTATGGCTTCTTCATATTTTCTTCAAAATTCTATCTCTAGGCCAGTTCTGTGTCGATACTTCTTTTCTCACCTAGCTGAATAATGATTTGTAGCATGAATCTTAAAAGGTTCTTATTAATAAAAACAAACCTGGTGCCAGGTATTGGGATGAACGCTGGAAGACCAGAGAAGCAGAACAAACCACAGCCACTTCACCTTGCCAATTCCTCAGCTGACTCTGTTTCCTCAGACTGGAAGCTTCTGAGTCCTCAGCCAAGTGGATCTCAGCTGAACTGCTGCTCAAAAGCCTAAAAGCTTAGCCAGGTTCTAGTTCCTTGTCCTCACGCCTTAAATACCTTTCTGCTTCCTGCCATCACTTCCTGGGATTAAAGGTGTGTGTCACCATGCCTGGCTGTTTCCAGCGTGGCTTTGAACTCACAGAGATCCAGGCGGATTTCTGCCTCTGGAATGCTAGGATTAAAGGCATGTTGTATGCCACCATTCTCTGGCCTCTATTTCTAGTGGCTGTTCTGTTCTCTGACCCCAGATAAGTTTATTAGGGTGCACAATATTTTGGGGAACACAATACCACCACAATGGTTGCATGGTGTTATCTTCCTGTTTCTATTTTACGTTTATTTTCATAAATTTCCTTTCTCCTTTTTCTTTCACCAAGATAAGATGGCCTCAAAATCCTGGGCTCCAGCCATCTTCCTTCCCCAGCTTCCCATGTAGCTGGAATGACAGGTATATCCTCCTGGCCATTTCTGTACTACCTGGACAGTAGATTTTACATGAAAAGGGGTTGATCCATTTTGTGTGAGTGGCCCTATCTAAGAATGTCTTCATAAATGTGAGTGTGAGTGTCTCTATTGGAGTGTCTTCATGAATGTGAGTGTGAGTGGCTCTGTCTGAGAGAGTCTACATGAGTTTGAGTGTGACCTCCAGTTACTGCACTGACTCCCAAGCACGGCCCAGAGCCATAACATGGACCATCAGAAATGCAAGTTTTCACCACATCCTTACTGATCTAGAGCCCTGGGTTACTCCAGCAAGGTGTCTTCACAATCCTCCACTAAGACGTTGGCAAGCAGCGTGTGAGAACCACTTATCTCTGGTATAAATGGGGCTGAGAGAACACGTGCCTCTGTGTGGATAGAGCTGTACAGGAGCAAGCCTTGAGACTGCAGGTTTGCAGAATTTCCCTGCCACAGTTCTTCCATTTGGTATTTATCTTATAAAACAGCAGTGAGTGTGTGCACGCACACACGTGGGTATGAATGTACGTCTTCTAACCCTGAGCTTACTTGGAGAGCCCTTCTCTTAGCATATGGTTCTTATTCCTAAGGATCTCTTGTCACTGAGCAAAGCAAGAAGGAATCCCTTTAGTATTTCATGCCAAAGTAGGATTTTCAAAAAAAGAGTGGCTGAAGGAAGAAACGGGGAAACAAAGCTGAGGTGACCTAGATGAGAAGGGGCGGCAGTGAAAACAGCAAAGGCAGCGGGAGTGAGAACTAGCGATGGTAAGCTGGTGACGGTGGTGGCTGTGGGCACGGTATGGTGGAGAAGGTCAGGGAACTGATGGTGATTCTGATGGTGGTGCTGATAATAGGGATGAGGGCAGGGGTTGGTTGCCCTAGCAATGATGGTTGGCACCGATGGGCCATGAAGATGGTGATAGTGATGATACAAGAATGGCACTATTGATGCGGCGGGTTTAGGGTGACGATGCTTCTTATAGTTTTCATATTATATGTTCTATACATGCTCCTGTGTGACAGCATAGGTCCCCAGCCAGTGGCCCTAGCCGAGGGAGGTTCTAGAATCTTTATGGGTGAGCCTTAGCTGGAGGAGGTCGATTACTAGGGCAGGTTCTTGAGAGTATTTTGTCTCTGACCCTGCCCTGTTTTCCTCTCTCTACTTCCCGTCTGCCACAAAGTGATGGGTCCACCAGAAAGTGACCAGCCTGCCACATGTTTCTGCCACCATGTTCTGCCCACGGCTAAGCAGCCACGGACTGGCCACTTCAAAACTGTGAGTCAAAATGTTTTTTTTTTCCTTCCTTTAAGCTGTTTGTGTTCCACATTAGTCACAGCAAGTATAAAGGCTAATGTGTTGTTAGTGATGACACAGGAAAGTGATGGTGGTGTGGTGTTGATGCTGGTGGTATTGGTTGGGGTGGTTGGGGTGGAGATGGTATGGTGGTTATCCTGGAGTTGGTGGTGATAGGGTTATCTATGGTGATGACATTGCTAGAATTGAGGATAGTATGGGTGATTACAGTGGCAGTGATGGTGGCATTATGGATGGTGATGTATTATTGTTCAGTATGGTATGGGTGGTGATAATGATGGTACTCATGGTGAGGACAATGTTAGAGGTGGTACTGGTGGTGATGAGGAGGAGTTGATGGTGCAGTGGTGATATTGATAATGATGTATTATTGCTAGTGGTGGTGATGGTGATGGTGTAGGGGAATAGTGTGTTGGTATTGTTAGTAATCACACGGTAGTGATGGTTGTGACTGATGGTGGTAATGGTGTTAGTGGTGTTGGTGATGGTGGTGATGGTGTTGGTGGTGATGCTGTTGGTGGTGATGCTGTTGGTGGTGCTGGTGCTGGTAGTATTGATTGATGGTGGTGATGGTGTTGATGGTGATGGTGGTGTTGATGGTGGTGATGGTGTTGATGGTAGTGATGGTGGTGGGGGTGATGGTGATGGTGTTGATGGTGTTGGTGGTAATGCTGTTGGTAGTGATGGTGCTGGCAGTATTGATTGATGGTGTTGATGGTGTTGATGGTGACGGTGGTGGTGATGGTGTTGATGGTGTTGATGGTAGTGATGGTGGTGGTGGTGGTGATGGTGTTGATGGTGTTGATGGTAGTGATTGTAGTGATGGTGGTGGTGGTGGTGATGGTGTTGATGGTAGTGATGGTGGTGGTGGTGGTGATGGTGTTGATGGTAGTGATGGTGGTGGTGGTGGTGATGGTGTTGATGGTGTTGATGGTAGTGATTGTAGTGATGGTGGTGGTGGTGGTGATGGTGTTGGTGGTAGGAGGGATGATGTCCATGCTGCATCCAGACCCTCAGATAATTTTCCTTCCTTTCCCACTTTCCCCCACAAAGGTCTGTTCTGCTGGCACACGGCGTGTGCACATGTGCACTTGGGTGAGTATGTATCTAGACGTTTTGTCTTTAACACCGCTGAAATTTACAAAACTCCTAAAGTCTTAGCATAAAAATAGGGTTAAACCATTTGGATCTTCTGTTTTCAAAAAAAAAAAAAAATGAACCAGCCAACTGTAGTTATAGGCAATTAATGTGATTCTGGGAGGGCTTCGGTGCAAGATAATGGAAAAGCTGATTAGAAATGAGCCAGGGGTAATTAGGGAGGTCGGAGAGGTCCCTGAACGCTGAAGAAGAAACTCTCTGACTCCGGCAGCTTCCAGGCACTGGGGTCTCTCCACAGCAACCTGGCGGCCAGAGGGCCAAGAGAGCTAGCTGGGGAAGGGTGAGTTTATCCTTGTGTACAGGAGGCAAGGTGAGGGGGAGGGAGGACGGGGCAGGGCCTCTCTGCGGGTCCGCAGCTTCAGAAAGGAGGCAGCTAAAAATAAACTCGAAGAAGGGCGCAGGAAATGAGGGCAGAAGAGAGGTTCCTAGGAGAACAGAAAACAAGACTTCCAGCCAGGAAAGGACCACGGACAGGCTGGGGATGCGAGCCAGGCATGTCAGGAGTTCCCACCCCCACGTGGACACATGGGGGGACCCTCTGGGGCCCTCAGCAGCCCCAGTTTGCACCCATGCATTCTGAGTTTATCTTCTCCGGATCCTGTTCTACTTGCACCCCCACCCCACCCCCACCCCCCAGTGTCTCAGCTCTATTTGGAATGTTTGATGTTCTGCTTAGATGCCATTGCATGTTTTTTCCCCATAGCCAGAAGCCAAGTGACCAGGCCAATGAACACGCTGGTGGCGCTTCCTGCTCCAAGTCCCCACAGGGAGCTAAGTACATGAGGTGGGGCTGAGCTGGAACAATCCGGTGTAAGAAGCCAGGATCACATAGGGAACAGCTCAACTCTTTCCTGGAATAATCACTTCCCTATAAACCTGGGCTTGTTACATGGGCCTCATCAGTAACTTAGCGGTGTTTATTTTGTATCCGGGAGACTGCTATAGGTTACATAAATGCATTACAAAGTTACAGTGGGATGGACTAGAGAAAGCTGCCAGCTCTGGAGCCAGGCTGCTCATACAATTCTCGCTCTTCCTTCTCTTCCTCTGCTTCCTCCTCGCTGGAGGACTGGCAGTCTCTCCGAGACCAAAGCTCTCACCCATAGGGCTAAACCTGCCTCCCAGGGTTACTATAGATATTTAAACATTGAAGATTTACTGTGCTTGGTTCATCTTGGCATGATGCAAATGATGACAATGATCGCTTTTATGTTATTATTTCCCCTGGGCAGCAGTCGGCCATTGGCCTAATAGCCTGCTGGAGAAATGACGGCATTAAATGCTTCATCAAGGCTCAAAGCACAGGCCACGAGGAGCTACAAAAGCCTGCTTAACCAGCAGCTGTGCCCTGTGGAACCCCATCCACAGGCTCCACTGCCCAGAAACCTGTCACCTAGTCTTGAATAGCCCTGCCATCTTGGGGGCCTTCGACATCCCTACATCAGGAGTTTTGATTTCTCATCAGAGAAGCCAGGACGTACATTCCTTGTAGGTTGGGTTCAGATGCCCCCCCACCAGTCACCACCATGCAAGCCTTGGCTCAAAAGTGATACTGCGTAGGAACTGGTATCTCCAGGGCATCCTTTTGCTGGCACAGGTGGAAACAATCATACCTGGATTCTGCTGATGATAGTGACATGGACCATAGAATGGCAGGGGTCAGGTCCCCTTTCTGTGTAGATGTAGCATCTTGATGGATGTGTTGCCCACTGAGGCAGGCACCTATAACAGCAAACGCCAATGTTAATGCAACTCCAAACTGTCTTTTTTCCAACTTAAATGTTATAGATGAAAGCTGAGTATGTTCAGAGTTTCTGTTGCCATCAGTATGCTATATCTGAGCATGCCCAAAAGGATTCCCATCTCCCATTTTAACATTTCGAACATGTACCCCATGATCTTGAACTGTGTGTGTCCCAGACATGAGATTAAAAAAAGTTACTAATGCTTTGAGAATCTTTTGCATGTATACAATGTATTTTTACATTGAATTATCATATTCATCCCCACTGCTTTCTCTAACTCCTCCCAATCCACCCTCTCCATCTCCTACCCCCTTCAAATTTCTTGTCTCCCTCCCTCTCTCACATTCCCATTTTGTCTCTGTCTCTCTGTCTCTGTCTCTCTGTCTGTCTCTGTCTCTCTGTCTGTCTCTGTCTCTGTCTCTCTCTCTCTCTCTTATTCCTTCTGAGATAGAGTCTCACTATTGCAGCTTGATAGCCTAGAACTTGCTATGTAGACCAAGACAGCCTTGAATTCACAGGGATCCTCCTGCTTCTGCCTCAGAAATGCTGGAATTAAAGGTGAATACCATTGAATCCAGTTTGTGCCAACAATATATTCATGGGAATAAGGCACCCTTTCTTGATCTTAAACAGAGCATGCACAGGAATGTGCTTTTTTAACTGAACATGCTCAGGTGTGTGCTTGCCTGTAAACTGCTTTCCTATAGGAATGTGGGTAGCTTCCTCAAAACACTCCCCTCCCCCCTCCCCTCCCCATCCAGTGAGGGCAGTGCTTTGGAAATGGCTCCTGCACTCACCCTCCCTCTGTGCAGTGGGTAGTATTTTTTTTGAGGGGGGAGGGGGGAGATTGTGCTTGTTTTGGGCTTTGTCCTCACCAAGATGCAAGATCACTACACACTGATTTACAGTTGCAGCTGCAGCTGAGGAGTTGAAAACCTGGTGTCCTGTGTGATCTTTGGCACTGATCCTGGAAGGCGGGCCTTGATCTGTCTCCCCAGCATTCTCCATGATTGTGTGTATCACCTAACGCAGTTAGCAATTCCCTTTCCTCAGCAATTCCCTTTCTGCTTAAACTAGTTAGGGTGCATCCTCCTGCCCAGAATGAGAGCCCTGAGGGAGAGGTCCCGCTTACCATGCACCCCCATGTGGCCATGCTACTTTATCTTAATCAGAATGTCACCACATCATGTCGTTATCTTGACATGGTAGGAATGGAAGCCAATGGCTTTGAAGATTCGAGCTGCCTTGTGTCACATTCAGGGCAGGTTGTTTGGGGCCAGTATTTGGTCCTCTTTAGTAGGGGACACAGTCATTTGTCCTCAAGCCTGAACCAATTACAGGCCTTCTTCAGAAGAGATGGAGCACTGAGATGACATTGGCTAGCCTGGTCTACAAAGTGAGTTCCAGGACAAGCTCCAAAGCTACACAGAGAAACCCTGTCTCGAAAAACAAAACAAACAAACAAACAAAACTATCTGTTGTGTGGTTGGTGGCTATTCCAGCTGGACCAAGGCTTGGGATCTATTGTAGATCTAGAGCTAATGGGTCACTGAGCAGAGAACAGCAGATCGCAGAGCTCTCTCTAAAGATGTTTGCAAGCTTGAGGTGCCATTGGACAGGCCAGCAGGAGTGTGGAACTGCCACCTGTCTGTGGAGGCAGTGCCTGCCCAAACAGATGCCCTTCTCCTCTCCCAAAGCTGGCTCCAGCACGTGGCCAATTCTAATGCTTGCTTAGGGAGCCCTCGCCATCAGAGGCCATGTCGCCAGATGCTAAATCTGCCCCACAAGAAGTCAGAAAACAGAACTGCAGCAGTCGCTATCCAAAGCCAATATGTACGGAACAGCACAGAGCCCTGTCGGAGCAGCAGGTGCCGCGGCGTGAACGCCGCAGCCAAGCATGTTGACTTTGGCAATGCTCATGCGCGTCTCATCATGGAGAGAGAGTTTATTGAAACTGAAAACTGGGAATAGAGGGCTCTGCGGGGTTGCCCTTGCCACTGTCATCCAAGATAATGGGTGATGGGCAAGTGCTGCTGGTTCGGGGGGACAGTCGAGCATACTTGAGGTGGGGAGGGGGTCACACAAGATGAGGACAGACCCCAGATACCCAGCACCCACATAAAATAATGGGGGTGGCAGGGGGTGCCTGCCATCCCCACTTTGGGGAGATGAAGACAAGAGGATCCCTGGGGCTTGCTGGACAGCAAGGCTAGCTGAACAGGTGAGCTCCAGGTTCAATTAGAAATCCTGACTCAAAACTAAAGTGGTAAGCAACTGAGGAAGACACGTGACGGCAACCTTTGCCCCCCTCCCCAACACGCACATATGAGCATGTGCGCCATGCACTCTGCTTGTCTGTCTCTCATTATGCTCCTGAGGTCTGAAGTCAGCCAGGTGCATTCTGTCCTTAGAGCAGAGGGAAGAACTCAAATTTGGGGGATGGTTTACATTTTATACCTTTTTATTTCTTCCTATTCTCGCTTTAGTCTACTTATGTTCAAATATACTGTTTAATTGTTTGAGAATTCCATCGTGCACGCAGCATATTTTGGCCATGTCACCCCCGAGTCCTCGCCCCTGCTTCTCTAAGATCCACCTTCACCTCTCGCCCCTCACACCTGTGTCCTCTTTTTCTTTCTTTTTAAGAAACAATCCACCAAGTTCAATTTGTACTGTGTGGGGAACCACCCATCAGAGTGTGCCCAATCTACCAGGAGCCACAGCCTTAAAGACAATGTACCCTCCCTGACCTGGAAGTCAGTCAACTGTCAATGGCTTCCTAGCTAGGGAGAGGGACTCATGAGCCCTGCCCACCTCCACTGGGATGCTACTGGCCTGGTCTTGTGAAGGATACACATGATTAAAAATACCAACCACACTGAATACTTGCCCAGGTGTTACATGGTTTTGTTTCCCAAGATAACAGCTCCACAGTGAAGGATCACTCTACTTTTTCAGACACTGAATATGGAACTCAGAGGTGTCAAATGGTTGTCTCAATACAGATAATTAAATAATGACCAAATTAAAAACCGGCTGTGATCCTGTCAGCTACCTAGCCTCCAGCCTGCCTTTCCTGCCTAGCACCACCCCATCTTCATGGCAATCTGGCTGGCCCAAGGGGATGAATGACCATCCATTTTAGCTGTTTTCTCCTGCTGGTACTTGGCATGGAAGATCACATGACTCATTCTGGCCAAAGAGACACAGAGGGGCTTATGAGAAATGATATCTCTCTGATTAAGTGGGGGTGGGAGGTGGGAGGTGGGGGGAAGCTTCAGGACTAATGCCCTTACCAAGACCACCATTCCTTCCTACCTACAGACATGTACAGGTAGACATATGGCCTGTGGCAGTCTTCTTAGATGCTTGAGGTGACACAGACAAGGCCGACAGGCTGGAGATGCAACATGAAAATTTGGGGTACACCCAGGTCCAGAGTAACACACTGACAGTCCTTAGGACCCCTTGCCTCCAGAACTTCTTGTTGAGTGAACAATAAACACCCTATGGCAGAAGCCACTGTTGGATATTACAAGTCGTTTCCAGCTGAACACCTCCTAACATGACCTCATTGAAGGTTAATCTTGATTGTCGACTTAGTTGAAACTAGAGTCATCAAAGAGACACAGCTCTGTGGGCGGGAGAGATGTCATTTAGATCATAGACTGCTCCTGCAGAGAAGGACCTAGGTGTGACCCCGGAAGTGGGTGCTGAAGAGATCTCATTTAGATCATATACTGCTAATGCAGAGAAGGACCAGTGCCCACTTCGGGAGTCTCATAACCACCTATAGCTCCAGTTCCAGAGGATCCAAAGCACTCCTCTGGCTTCCGAGGGCAATGTACTCACACACACACACACACACACACACCTAAAAATAAAAATAAACTTTTTAAGAGAGAGGGAGAATGTGAGAGAGAAACAGAGATAGAGACAGAGATCCAGAGACACACCTCTAGGGAACTCTGTGAGTATATTTCCAGGAAGGACTGAGAGAGGAAGCCACACCCCTAGAATGGGTGGCACCTTTTGGCGATGGCCCACGTATGGAATCGAGGGAAAGAATGCCGCTTGCTTGCCTGCCCTATATGAAATGAAGACCAGCGGCTCTTCAGCATCCGGCCAGGACTGCTGAAACAGTCAGCCTTGTGGACTGAACAGCTACTGGGTTCTCAGCTTCTTCAGTACACAGGCAGCTACTGATGGATGACCCGGCCCATACCGTGCAAGCCAATCTAATATCATCCCCTCTTTGAAACATACTCACCCTGTTGGTTCCACTCTCCTAGAGGACACTGACTAGTACACCCGAGATGTCTAATGTCAAGCCTATGATCTTCGTCCTGTGGCCTTTTGATGCCTGCATGGGGATCTAGCTGTCACCAGCGGCCATTGTCCACCTGTCAAACACACAGTGCCGAAGTGCTCAGACTTAGAAGCTTCAAGGAAGCTGTCCTTTCAGGGGAGAGGCATTCAGCTCAGCAGGATCAAAACTCTGGCTCTGACCTGAATTCTTGGCATCCATCTAGGAATTACAGGTCCTCAAAGCCTGAGCAGACCTGAGACGCCATCTGATCCAACCCCTGTATTATAGACAAAGAAACTGAGGCTCTGAGAGCTGACACACTCTGTGAGGAGGCTCATGTGTGGCATCGGTCCTGATGGTGGAACTCACCTCTCCCATTAGCTCCTGGCCTTGTCCTTCTGGCTCATCATTCAAACTCATCAGCTTGGTCCCAAGCTCTGAATGGCTAACCATCTCAAATTAGAAAGAGGTTCTCTCTTCAGACTTCACTCAGTACAGCAACAGCAGCAAAATCCAGAGAGGTAGAAAGAGACAAATTATCAGATTGTGTGTGTGTGTGTGTGTGTGTGTGTGTGTGTGTGTGTGTGTGTGTGTATGTGTTTGCTTGTGTGTGTGTTCATATGTGTGCATAAGCACGTGTGCACATGCATGTGAAGGCTTTTCTTTTTTTTCGTGGTTCTGGGGATTGAACTCAAGTATCGGTGTAAGAGGAGATAGGATTTTCTCTATCACTTGAGTTGGTTTACCCCCTCTTTGATGAAAGAAGTACTTTGGACTTGGTATGCTCTTTCTAGAAGATCTTGTGGTTAAAACAAAATAAAAAGCCGGGTATAGGAGTAGGGCTTAGAGCTCAGTTGGTTGAGTACTTGCCGAGCATGCACAAAGCCCTGGGCTCAATCCCCAGCACCACATAAAACCAGGAATGGTGGTACATGGCATGCGATCCATGCAATCAGAAGTTTCTGGTCAGCCTCAGCTACCCAGTGAGTTCAAAGGAAGCTAGGGAATAAATGAGACACTGCTCGGAGCGATGAGGAGAGAAAATCTGATGTACTTGGTAACAGCAGTGATGACGACAGTGACGGCGGTGTTGGTGAAGATGACAATGGTGATAATAATGCCGATGATGGCGATGGCGGTAAGATAACAGTGATGATAATCATAATGGTGGCGATATGATGATGGTGGTGGTAGTGATGATGGTGATGGTGATGGTAGTGTGATGGTGGTGATGATAGTGGGTGGTGATGACGTGGTGGTGGTGGTAATGGTGGTGATAATGGTGATAACATTGGTGAGGATGGTGGCAATGATAATCATCATGGTGGTGCTGATGGTGATTGTGATGATGGTGGTGGTGGTGATGGTTGTAGCAGGAATCTTAGAGAGTCTTATTAATAAAATCAAACCTGAGGCCAGTTATTGGGGTCAATGCTGGAAGGTCAGAGAGACAGAACAAGCCACAGCTAACCCCACCTGGCCAGCTTCTCAGCTGGTCTTGTTTCCTCAGACTGCAAGCCTCTGTGTCCTCATCCCAATGGCTCTCAGCTGAACTGTGCTGCTAGAAGCCTGAAAGCTTAACCAGCCAGCCAAATGCTTCTAGTTTCTGGTCCTCACGCCTTATAAACCTTTCTGCTTTCTACCACCACTCCCTGGGATTAAAGGCTTGCTTTCTGGGATTAAAGGCGTGTGACACCATGCCTGGCCTTTCCAATATGGCCTTGAACTCACAGAGATCCAGAGGGATCTCTGCCTCTGGAACACTAGGATTAAAGGTGTGAGTGCCACCATTTTCTAGCCTCTGTATCTAGTGGCTGTTTTTTCTCTGACCCTAGATAAGTTTATTAAGGTACACAATATTTTGGGGAACACAATACCACCACATTTCCTCTCTTTTTGTCTAAAATTAAAAAAGGCTTATAACTAATACAAGAAAAACTATCCAATAAGTATATACAATATATACAGCCAAAAATTACATTAATGATGTCTAGTCCATTAACATTTGACAGATTCAGATAAAAACTCCATTATATGTATTAACAATGTCCAGTCCAGTAACATCTGATAAACTCAGACCAAAATTTTTTCATTACTTATTTAAAACAAGTAGCTCCTTTTTAAAAGTAGATTCCATAATCTCCCTTTTTATCTTATCATAACCATATTCTCTCTTTTTTCTTTTCATAATGGATTCAGTAGTCTACCTTTTGTCATTTTTATATCTTCCCCTTTTTCTTCAGTGTAGATTCAGTGATCTACCTATTTATCCTATTATTTCTTTATCTTTTTTCTCAGAGTAGATTCGATGATCTATCTCATATCTATATTCTCTTTTTCTTTTTGCTTTCTAGGGGTGAAGATATCTTTAGGGAATCTTGAAAAGAAAATTTTTGAGTTAATTGTCAAGTCCTGTATCATTTGTCCAGTCTCTGCATAAAAGGAAAGTTCAGGGCTTGTCACAAGTCCTTGCTCAAGTAGTCTGTCAGGCTGGATCATGTCAGCTAGCCATCTCGAAATTGTCCTAAACAGTTTGTAGTCTAAAGTCGATCTTTCCTTGGTGTTAACCAGCTTAATGGCTTTACCATAGTCCATGTGGAATCATCTTTGTGGGGTCCCGTCATCCTTTTGAAGATTTCAAAGTTGCTGTTAGGTGTGGTCATGGTTCTCTGCAGACTTTTTTTTGTGCCTCCTCTGTGGTTTGGTTTCTGATAAATGTCTGTTTCTCGGAACCATGAACATTCTTCCCTAGAACAGAAAATCTTCACAGCAATTTCTCCCCACCATTTGTTTTGCCAAACTTTTCCAAACTGACCTTTGCTGATACTTTCTTGTAACACAATGGTCCTGGCAATTCTTCTCTGAACCAGCAGCAGTAAACCCTTTGTCCTAGGTAGCAGCATCACCACAGTCACCAACATGATGAGAAGTAGCCAGCAACATGGAGCAGCAGCCGCTGCCTCCATGGTCCCACCACTGTTTGTGGCTAGGTTCGGACTGAAGCTTTTCCTTAGCAAGCCTCCAAGGCTGGCCTCAAATTCAGGATCCTCCTGCCTCTGCCTCCTTCAGCAAATTCAACTGGTGTGCACCACCACAACAGGCAAGCAGCTTTTTCATGAATTCATACCACAAACGTTGGGCGCCAGATGTAGCTAGAGTTTTCCTGCCTGGCCGACAGTCAGGACAAATCTCTCTCACCTGCCAGTCCCACAGCCGCTCAGACCCGACCAACTAAACACAGAGACTTATATTGGTTACAAACTATATGGCTGTGGCAGGCTTCTTGCTAACTGTTCTTACAGCTTAAATTAATCCACTTCCATTAATCTATACCTTGCCACATGGCTTGTGGCTTACCGCCATCTTCACATGCTGTTTCTCATCGTGGCGGCTGGCAGTGTCTCTCTAACTCAGCCTTCCACTTCCCAGCTTTATTCTCCTCCTTGTCCCGCCTATACTTCCTGCCTAGCCAATGGCCAATCAGTGTTTTATTTATTGACCAATCAGAGCAACACATTTGCCATACAGACCATCCCATAGCAGATGGTAATGATCGTGGTGATAATGATGTCATTTTTTTCAGAGCACTGGATTGACCCTAGCCACTCAGGGGCCACACCTAACCTCTTATTCCTCTGGCCATGGAAGGAATACATTCTTTCCTGAAAAGTCATGAAGCCATAGAAAACCTCAGGTTTATAACCCAAACCTTCTTCATCTCAGTCCAATCAGGCAGCAGCTGGCTCAGGCCTGAGCAGCTTCCTCTAGTGGTATTTACCTGCTCTTGGCATTTTGGCTGGTAAACACAAAAGATAACTTTTCAGAAAAACTAATGAGATTATCATGGAAAATAAATAATCATCAATTAAGCATCACACAGAGAAGTGTGGTTTAGAGTTGCTGACAGGAGAGATATTTCCATCTTTCTATTTCTGGAAGGAGCCTGAGATCTGACAAATGATGAGGCAATAACAATGAAAACACAAAGCTGTGTCCCTTTACAACCTCAGAGGCCTTGGGTGGGAGCAGGTTCAGGCCTTAGGCAGCCAGGCTATCCTTCCTCGGGGGAGGCAATAGGGATGTGACCCATGGACACTAGCAGAGAGGTACCAAGGAAGGCTGAATCTGCTCCCTCAGCCCACGGAGGGGCAGTGGAGAGACAGATGAGCAGATGGGAGGGAGGCTTTCCTGATCTCACGGAAGTTTATAGTGAAGCACGTGAGTTACATGCTAGCTACATAAATACAACAAAACAAAACAAAAAAAAAAAACCCTCAAATATGTCAGGAGTGGAGGTACATGCTCTAATCCCAGCAATCAGGAGGCTGAGGCAGGAGGAAGGCCACTAGTTTGAGGCAGCCTGGACTGTATAGTGAGTTTCAGGCCTGCCTAGATGCCATATTAAAGTATTTTATATATATACATACACACACACACACACACACACACACACGCATGCATGCACGCACGCAGGCATGCACGCATGCTTCAAAAACCAGCAAGGAGAAGACAATAAGAGAATGCTAGGGTGAGGAGTAGGGTGCTGGGGTTGGTGAGTCGAATCTTGTTCCTCCCAGTTCCCATGGTAAAGTCCCTACTCCCAGTACCTCAGATGTGACTACATCTGGAGACCCAGTACCTCAGATGTGACAGCATCTGGAGACCAGGCCTTAACATAGGGAAAGCAGAAATGACGTCAAGTTGACGTTCTTACAGAAGCAGAAATTCAGACATAAACACACATGGAAATGGCTCTGGGTAGAAGCCAGCCACATCCACAGAGAAGAACATGACAGATGTTCCTTCTCTGCCAGCCCTGAGAGGAAACCATCAGCCGGCCAACCTTGACCTTCCAGTTCCCAGAAAGGAGAGACAGATACTCTATCATTGAAGCTCCCAGTCTATGTAACTCTAAGAAATGAATCCAGAGGTTCCCAGAGGGCAAGCAGCGTGAGGTAGGTGAATGGGGAGGAGCAAGTGTTTCCTTCCTTCCTTCCTTCCTTCCTTCCTTCCTTCCTTCTCTTCTCTTTCTCTCTCTCTCTCTCTCTCTCTCTCTCTCTCTCTCTCTCTTTCTTTCTTTCTTTCTTTCTTTCTCTTTCTTTCTCTCTTTCTCTCTTTCTGTGTTGGGATTCATTCCCAGGGCCTTGCCCATGTTAGACATGGCTGGAGGTATAAATGAGGCTGAGTTGTAAGGCATGCTAACAAGTCATGCCTTCTAGCCCTCCCATTTCCCCAAGGACACAAGGAAGATGGTCATTAGATGGTCATTAGTTAAGGGAGGGATGGCATCAGGGTGCCAAAGGTTGAAGGATGAGAAGCGAGAGCCAGCGAGCCAGCAGAATGAGCTTCTGGGAAACAGAGCGCTGTGAGGGCCTGGTTCTGGTTCTAAAGACATTGGTTCAGGGGCTAGGCACAGAGTTGCTGAAGAGTCAGACCTAGCCAGGGTTGGGAGGCCTGGTGGAGGAGGAGCAGGGCATGACACACTGACAGACCCTGGAGCCCTGGGAAAGGACTCAGAAAGCCCAAGGCAGTGTGGGTTGTAGTCGTGGTTCCAGAAACCATGGGGACTCAGAATTCTGGAGGAGAAACATAAGCTGGAGCATAGAAGAAGGCCGCAGATATTTCTAGAGGTAGCACTGTGATGGCAATGATGAGGACTGAGGAGTTCTCTGCCCGGTGGATACACCATGGAAGTGAGGGACAAGGAGTCCAGAAGTTTCCATGGTCCCCCTGGTAGATGTTGACTTTGCCCAGAAATGTCCAGAGTCATTTGAGGACAAAGGGGGCTCAAGGGGCCAAGACCTTAGGTAGACAAGGGGGGCAGTTGCATGGTGACAACCGCAAGCAGGATTCTGTCCTTGGCATGAGGCAATGGCTTGTCTCTCATAGGACCAAGGATTCTGAGGAAGGGGGAATCAGGGTAGGCATAGCAATGGTAGCAAGGCTGGAAGGGAAATACAAGAGCTAGTGAGTAAGGGATTTGATAGCCCATGAGCCACACTAGAGCCATGCTGGCTGCTGTCACAATCACACTCACCTACAGGGACTCTGCTTGCTCACTTACCTCCCAGGGGCTCCTTGAGTGGGAGGCCAGCCTCCTCCAGCTCAGGGCAGGAAACATTCCCTAGCATGGAAGAGGTTGGTGGAAGGTGTGTCCAGGTCAGGTCTAGAACCAGCCGAAAACTTTCTAGATCTCATTTTCTAGATCTGTTGCTGCCACACCCACCTGCAAAAGAGGCTGGAGCTGAGAGGAAAGGAGACTGGCCATCAGCCAGTGGCCTCGACCACTCTGCAAGTTCTGAAGCAGGTCCCCAAAGCAGGGGACGCCCAACCTGAGAAGGCTTAAAAAGACCCAAGATGTTCACTCAAATCCTGCAAAACAGGGGTCTCCTTCATTTTGCAGATCAAATGGAACCCCTGCCTAGGAGAACCAGAAAGAAGGGAGGACATACAGACATCACAGTTCACCTACACTGTCTGGCATTAGAGCTGGCAACACTACCTCCATTAGATCTAGGCAAACTGGGACAACTGGTCACCTAGCTTGGGTGATTTTAGTCCACATGAGTGCATACCTAGTTAAAGGTAAGCATTAACTAGGGCCTTTAAAACCCCTCAGTGATTCTGGCATGAGTTACATGACCATTGATGGTGAGTTCAGTGTCAATGAATCAACAGCACATATTAAACAATATGTCTTTAAAGAAAAATACACATGAAACAAGAAACAAGGTGTTGTATTGATTGATGGTTGTGGTTTGAATGTGAAATGTCCCCCATGGGCTCACGTGTTTGAATGTTTGGTCCTCAGCTGGTGATGCAGTTTTTGGAGGATTTGGAACCGGTAGGAGGTGGGTCCTGACTGGAGGATGTGGGTCATTGGGGTTCCCTGTTTTCTGCTTCCTGTTCTACAGAGATACGAGATGAGGCATCCCATGCTGCCATGACTTCCTCATCATGATGGACTGTGTCCCTTAAAACTGTAAGCCTAAATAAACCCTCCCTCTCTCAAGTCGTTTCTTCTCAGATATTTGTCTGTAGCAATGAGAAAGTGCATAGGTGGATGGAAATGAAATGCTGTCCCTAGGCATGTTCAGAAAACGGTATTTTCATATGCAAGGTGACATTACAAAACATAACACAAATAAGGGAAACCAACTGTATATCTCCACAGTGGAATTTTTTTTTTACCTTAAAAGGAATGAAATGGTGATGTATTTACCACATGGATGATAGATATATAGATGATAGACAGATAGATACATGCATGCTAAGTGACAAAAAAAGGTGACATAGTATATGATTCAATTTATGTGAACTTGAATCTACAAGGACAGGAAGTGGTACTGGGCACCCCTCACATCCATGCCTGGCCATCCTCTTCCCTAGGCTTCTCTTTGCTGCTCTGGCATCCCCTGCATACTTCCCTCTGGGAACCTGGCAACTGAATTCTCTCATCACTTAGTCAAAGACCTGCCCAAAGCGGCATGGACAACCAGGAAGGAGGGGACGCCTCTGTTTCTCTCTAGTGTTCAAGCACAGCTGTACAGTTTCTGAGGGAGATGGCAAGGACCGGATGAAAGCGCTGAGTGGTAGAGGCTCTAGATAACAGGATTTGTAAGGTTTCCTTCAGCCCACCGGGAAAGCTTCTGACCACAGCCACAATATGAATGAAGAGAGGTGAGCGGCGCATGTGACCAGGAGCCTGGAGGTGGCAGTCCAGGATGGGCACAGGATGACGAACATGCTGCCAGCCTTCTGGATTCCCGCTTTCCCATCCTCAGCCCTCACAGTCGTTCCACACGTCACACCTTGTAGTCACATAAGACCCTTGTAGCATCATAGGATGCTGCTCTGCTCCAGGGTAACCTTGTCGCATAGATGCATCTGTAGCAGGAAGGTGGGGTGATGTAGAGAGACGCTTCCCTAAGTCCCTTGGTCTCCCTGAGGGGAAGACGATACTTTCCCAGAAGCCCCATTCACTGAGGTCCCCTGAGTCCCATTGGTCACAAGTGGGCCACATACCTAGTCCTGGATCAACCATGGGCTGACAGCGATTGGCTAATTCAGGCAAAAACGTATCCTGGGAGACTAGAATTATGGGTTGGCAGGGAAAGGAAAGAAGTGGGCAGCAGCCACGTGAGCTGTGAGTAGTGTGGGGAAATACCAAAGAAAGGAAATACTTTTTTCGAGACAAGGTTTTTGGTAAGCAGTCATATAGCTCTGGCCGACCTTGAACTTAAGATCCTCCCCCTCAGCCTCTCAAGTTCTGAATTATAAGCATATGCCACCACACCTAGCTCAGAAAAACATTTTTTTCCCCCTGACATCTTGTAGAACCACCAGAAAAGGACTTCGATGTTTGTGATCACAAACTGTACATCTGGCCAAGTGCCACCATGGAGTCGAGCCCCCAACGTCCCCAGCCTGACTGAAGAACATCACAATGGACACCCTCCCTGTCCGTCAGGTGCTCACTGCTCTGATGTGGTGAAACTTTCCTTGGAAACACATCCACCTTGAGATCTCCTCCTCCCTCAGGCCACCCTTCCTTAGCAGGCTCCTGTGGCGTGTGGAAAGCAATTTGAAAGTGATCTGTTTGTGTTGACACGGGCGCGTGGTGGCTCAAACTGGGAGACCCCAATGGTGTCCCTGCTACGATTCCGTCAGTACCTTCCATAAAAGAGTTGTACAGACCACCACCACCACCACCCCACCCCCCCGCCAAGTACCCAGCACGTCTTGTGAATACAGCAAGACAACTGTGACCTTCTAAAGATTAATTGATTTTCCAATCATTTGCATTTTTTATAATAAGGCAACAAAACTTGGCGGGGGGGGGGAGGGGGGAGGAGGGAGGTATGAGTGCTAGAAAAACACCTCCAAAAAGGGAGGAGGCAGGCATTTTTTTTTTTTTCTGCAAGATCCAGAGCCTCATCTCGACAGGACACGCACTGCCTTCCTCGGGCCGCTCCCAGGCAAGCCCTCCAAGGGCAGAATTGATATGCAGCTCCAACAGCAGACAGCTGCTGCGGTCTCCCACAAACTGCCTGGGGCTTACATTATTTTATTCTGGGGGGCGGGGGGGGGGCTGCAGTGAGGAGGGTCTGCATGATGGTTTAGTAACGGCCATTTTCGGAAAACAACCAAGGCAATTTCAGGATTTGCTGTCACAATAGGCACACTAAAAATAAAGTCAGCATAAATAGATTAAGAAATTGACAGAATAACAAGGCATAAAGAATTAGAATAAATGCATGGGCTGCGGATGACAAGCAGAGAGCCCAGTGCGGGGAGTGGGGGGGGGGCGGCAGAAGGGAGGGGGCTTTACCTGCTGACTCTGAGCTTTCCACATGCTTCCTGGCTGTGGGGAGAGCTTATTTCTCAGGGACAGTCAGCACATAATCGAATTCTGCATTAGCAAGCGTGGAGGCTTCTGCTGTGCCGAGGGGGGGCAGGCCGCTTTCCTGTGGCATTCCAATTTCTCCCCCCATGGCTGATCCTTCTTGAAAGACAGATTGGAAGGCTTCCCCAGTCGATTCCTAATCCCAGGCGTGAGTTTGGAGAAGGCTGGAGATGTGGTACAGAAGGGAGTGGGCTGGGGAAATGTTTGTAATTCAGTCCTGACATTTGGAGAAGATGAATCTCTTTGGAAAATGGGCATAGCAGGGAAGAGAGGGGGAGGGGGTCCCTACATGCCAGGAACTCACTGTGTAGGTCAGACTATGCCACGATAATTTTGGAGATGTGGATTCATCCTGAATTGGGAGTGCCAAGCAGAACAGCTTAACTGGTTCATCACAGAGTCCTGGGCAGGGTTGGGCTCCCTCTTTCTCCAGGGTGGGCAGAAGAATCCATCTGTCCTCTCAGGCCAGTTGAGTAGAGAATGCTAGGGAGAAGGGGACAGGGACCCTGGGTAATCCCATATTCCTCCTGCTTCACTCAGTCTAAGACTAATTGACAGCCAAGAGTATATACCCTGCTTTTATGGGAACATCCCATGGGACTTTCTAGGCAGATTTTCCAACCAAGTTCCCTAGGTATTACATGCTAAGTTAAAAAGGTGTGCACATTGTAAGTTTGGAAAACCTCAGTTGAAATGAGCAAGGCAGGTGAATTCTCTTCCAGAGGTCTGAGTTTCCTGTGATAGGAGGCATTACGTAGCCTACGGAGGGATTAAATGAGCAGCCTTTCCCCACTGAAACTCTCCATTCTAAACGTATTTGTAGGGAGACCCTGGGGGTGCGACTCAGTGCTTGACAGATCTCCAACATCTCCAACACTGCTCAACCAACCAACCAACTAACCAGCCAGCCAACCAACCAACCAATGAACAGTTTTTGGTGGAATGCCTATGTCAAACACAGAGGTTGAAAAATATCCTAGCTACCAACCAGCTGAGTTTCAGTCCACTGACTAGCCAGGGCTTCATCCCTGAGAGGGGAGGATGTTGAACAAGGCCCTTGAGGCTTTTGTCTGGCCAAGACCAATTTTCTCTGAAAAAAGAAACAGTCCAGTCCAATACTCATTTGATTATCTACAAGGATTACACATGGCTTACACAGTGGGAATGGCAGCTCTGAGTTGTCTCACATGTGGAAGGCCCCCAAGCCAGACTAACCTTGTCCTGGTGACCTGGGCACTTTCACCCTCAGTGTGCTCGGACTTGGGAGTGATTGTGAGAGGTCAGTCGGAATTAAATAAATGAACTGCAATTCTGCTGGAGGTGTTTAACCATTTCATTAGGCATACTGTCATGCCCAGGTGCTTTGCTAAGTGCAGAGCTGGTTATGGTTATGGTAACTACAGGGAAAATATGTGGTATCACCTCACCATGTAACTATGGGGGAGCACCCATGTGAGTTAGGGACAGCCATCATCCTGATCTTGCCATTTCTCAAAACAGAAGGCTTTCAATATCCTTTTGATGGTTGGGGCTCGGGCTGAATGGGGTTGAGAGGAGGTAAGGGCAACTGGGTGGTAAGAAGGGAGGTTCTGGGAACCAGCCTGGCCAGGATGTCAAAGAGCCTTAGGCTTTGGAATGATGGTCATTTTTTTTTTTTTCTGGAAAGCATGATGTGGGACTCTCCCCAGTCCCTCTTCACTCATCTACATCACTCATCTACAGCAAAGTTCCATCTACTGTGCAGGACTCACCAAACCTCAGGGCTACAGACCAGCCAGTGTCTGAGACAGTGGGAATTCAAAAGATTGCAAGAGAGTGTGACCAGCCGGGCAGTGGGTCTTGGCAAGAAATCTCAGTGGGTAAAAGCTGGAGCAGAAAATCAATCTCTCTCTCTCTCTCTCTCTCTCTCTCTCTCTCTCTCTCTCTCTCTCTCTCTCTCTCTCTCTCTCCCCCCTCTGCAGGGGCTCAGACTTAGGGCTCCACTACTGCGGTACATGCCCTGCTACCAAGGAAAATAATTAATTTTGATGAACAGTTATAAAATGAAGGTCTACTGAATTGGGCAGTCAATGGATTCCTGTCCACAGTGCAGCAGCAGTTCAATGGGCAAAGGATAATCTTTGCAAACTGCAGGGGCAACTGGGCATCCATGTGTGAAAACACCACCACTCAAAGATCCTCCCCCAAACCTCAAGCCAAATACAAAATTTAACCAAAAGCAAATCATGGAGCTTGGTGTTGATTCTAAAAACTACCAAACGTCTACAAGAAAACACAGTAGGAAAAAGGTAGCCTTGGAGAAGGGAAGGCTTTCTCACTTGCAGTAGCAGATGCCTGGTCCACAGAGAAAATGAAAGTGATGCATTACACTCCATCAAGATTAAAACTTCTCCTCTTGGGCCATCAAGACGGCTCAATGGGTAAGGACATTTGCTACCAAGTATGACAACCTGAGTTTGATCTTCAGGACCAGTACGGGAAAAGGAACCAACTCCTAAAAGTTGTCCTGTGACTTCCACACACGCGCCATCACACGCAGGCATCCCTACACACCCAGACACCACATCAAAGTAAATAAATATAAGGAAATCAAAATCAAGTGAGTTAAATCCCTGCTCTACTTCCTAGTCCCTGAACCCAGGGCCTTTGTCAACTTCAACAATATGAAGACCCCACAAAAGAAACCAACACATCAGCAAGGATGTAGAACAAGGCATTTATGCACCATAGATACACAGCTCACATCTGTCTGTCTATCTATCTATCTATCTATCTATCTATCTATCTATCTATCATCTACCAATCACCTATCTATCTATCTATCATCTACCAATCACCTATCTATCTATCTATCATCTACCAATCACCTATCTATCTATCATCTACCAATCACCTATCTATCTATCTATCTATCTATCTATCTATCTATCTATCTATCATCTACCAATCATCTATCTATCATCTACCAATCATCTATCTATCTATCTATCTATCTATCTATCTATCTATCTATCTATCTATCTATCTATTTGTCATCTACCAATCATCTATCTATCATCTACCAATCATCTATCTATCTATCTATCTATCTATCTATCTATCTATCTATCTATTTGTCATCTACCAATCATCTATCTATCATCAACCAATCATCTATCTATCTATCTATCTATCTATCTATCTATCTATCTATCTATCATCTACCAATCATCTATCTATCATCTACCAATCATCTATCTATCTATCTATCTATCTATCTATCTATCTATCTATCTATTTGTCATCTACCAATCATCTATCTATCATCTACCAATCATCTATCTATCTATCTATCTATCTATCTATCTATCTATCTATCTATCATCTACCAATCATCTATCTATCATCTACCAATCATCTATCTATCTACCAATCATCTATCTATCTATCTATCTATCTGTCTATCTATCTATCTATCACATATCCAGAGGCATTTGTGGCACACAGACTCACAGAAATCTGGGTTTAGAAGCCGAGACAGACCTGATGAGAGAACTTAGCAGATGAAGATGCTGCCCCCAAGCCTGATGGCCCTCGTTCGATCCCTGGTACCCACATGGTAGAAGAAAATCAAAGCCTACAAGTTGTCCTCTGGCCTCCACATGCATGTTTGTGCACCTGCCCCACAAGTAAATGTAATGATTTCTGATCATGAGAAAGAATGTGTCAGAGGGCAGAGGTTCAGGTGAGACGGGGCAGTGAACGATTTTCTGGGTACGATATAGTTTTCCTTCCTACCTTCAATTAAAACACAAGCTCTTGAGCTACATCTGGGCTTGGGCAAATAGATATTAGGATAAATGCTGAAAGGCACAGAAAACTGTGAAGAATAATCAATTTGGCTCACACCCCCACCATATTATCTTCCAGAGGTTTTATATGATAATGCCATTCCGTCTGTGCCCTATCATTAATTTTAGAGATGATCAAATTGGTCTCTAGACAGGTGAGGTAACTTGACTAAGGCTGCACAGGTAAGAAGTGGCAAAGTCAGGATCTGAACCCATTGCCTGATACCAACATGTCTTCTCATCCTGATCCATAAGCAGAGAAACCAGTTATTTGGGCAGGTGTGTGTCTTATTCTACCCTATACAACCTATACAACCCTTTATATCTGGGTCAAGCTAAATGTGCTTGTGGTTTGCCTTATAATATTAAGGGGCTAGCCACCTCTCAGGTTTTTATTTTAAATGTGTTTATTTTACGTGTATTGAGTGTTTCTCTATGTGTACCATGTGTGTGCCTTGTACCCACAGAATTGAGAAGAAGGAACTGGACTCCTGGAACTGAGTTATGATGGTTGTGAGCCACTTTGTAGGTGCTGGGAATCAAACCTGGGTCCTCTGCAAGAGCAGCATGCATTTTTAACTACTGAGACACCTCTCCAGCCCCTCCTCTCAGGTTTGTAAATACTTCCCAGGCAGGAATTACAATCCGGCCAGCTCACCTCTCCACCCTCCCTTCTATTGCTTCTGGCTGGCCTCACAAACTCCAGTAAGAAACCTCGATCCCTAGCCCCCCACCAAGGGCCGCCCTAACTGCAGCCTTCAAGGCCTGTGCGGATGGAGGCTGCCTGGGAAGCCCTCCAGATGGCCCAGCGTAGACATGCTCCTCAACGTCTCTGGTCAGCTGTGAAAATGAGGCCATGTTCAACAAACAGCATTGTTCAGAACGAGCAGCAGTCATTGCTTTTGGCAAGAAAAAAGTCAACTTGGAACACGTGGGTGATTCTCTTTAATTGGATGTGCCCCATGGCTGTAACAAAAATCAATGCATATCTGGTGCGGCTGCAGGTGTACTGATGCATCCAAGGCTCTGCAGCTGCCGAGGAACCACAGGGCCTGTGGGACCAGGACATCAGGTGTTCCTGGTTCTCCTGTGGGTGAAGCATCCAAAATCCTGTTGGGGCTCCTTGGGGAGAGCTCTAGGGATATGGACTGGCTTCCAGAGTGCCAACGGGCACCCAAGGGGCTATGTGTGGTGTGAGTGAGTTCCGGGTGCAAGGTGTGGAGTGGGCAGAGGTGTGCTGGCACCTAGGCTCTGCCCCTGAAGCTCTGAAGGCTCATGGAAAGTTCAAAGGTCCAAATGAGCCCCTGCCATCTGTACCAAGGATGACAGGGACATCAGGCACTCAGGAAGGACAGGGCTGAGCAGGGCCTTGGGAGACAGGGCACCTTTTGATGTTAAGTAGAATGTTGTTGGAGTCCACATGGGGAGACAATAAGACTGAAGGAGAACGTAGCTTCCGAAATCTATAAAAAAAAAGTACCTTTTCTCCTACAGAGAGGGGCTCAGGCAGGAGAAGCTGGTGTGGGATTGTGTGTGTGTGTGTGTGTGTGTGTGTGTGTGTGTGTGTGTGTGTGCAAAATAAATGAGATAGTGTTCTATGGAGCATTTAAGAAATGATGTACCGAGGGGGA